TATATTTTATGCAACTGTTATCACCTTCTCAAAGGTAATTGTGATATTTTATTAAAAAAAAAACATTATAATTACGATTATGATTGCATCAGAAATTATTGTACTTATACGATCTTGCAAATAAGAAATCATTTTTTTTACGTTAATGACACGTCCACGTAGGTAAATACGACACTTGTACCATTAGATGGTACTGTAAGCAATAAATTAATAATATACCCATTGTATTGTTATAATATGTAAATATAAGTTAAACAAGAAGCAGCATTAGTATCTATAAAATAAAAAAAGTAGAAAAAAAGAAACGAATTTTTTTTAAAAATGACCGATGGTTACGTCAAACGTTTTAATGGTTAGAAATAACGAAAATTTTTCTAAGGTGTAATAACTATGTAGGTAGGTACTAAAGTTGTGAAGTCCTTCAAATTGTGTGCATTTTATGTTCAGTTAAAACACATTTACACGCTGTTTGCAATATTTTTTATGTTATTGTTTTAACATGTAATAGAATTTAATAAATACTTTAGTAGATTGAGTGCAACGTTGCGGATGATATTTCTTTACCAGGACCGGAATTGAATTTATCTGTACTTTCAACCGTGGCGTGGGTTTTATTCACGCACGCTAAAAACTGACGATTTTTTTAGGCTAAATATTTGCAAAAATATGCACCGCTACAGTTAAAAAGCTGGTTTTGTATTCATAAAATATTAATGATTTAGATGACAGACACAGAACACAACACAAACAAACGGTAGAAATAAAGATAAAATATGAGGATGACTTACCAGGACAGTGCTTGGTTATGATACAATTATTCCCTAATAATAGGATGTCTTTGAGATGCATGGATCGTCTTGCTAAACCCAAGAGGAGATGCTCACCTGCGTGTGCACGCAAAAGTGCCACCTGGAACGGACAAATCAAAATCAGAAATTGAAAAATTATACTTGTATAATTTAGTATTAAAAGTCAGTTTCGTTGTCAAGGATAATCTCTGAAACGAAGAGTATAATTTTCAAAATCTTTTCTCCCTTGGAATGACTATATTTTGACTAAAGTTTTTGGTTAATATCACTAAGCTACAAGGGCAGAGCAGCGATGAGAAAAAGCAGAAATCAACATTCTTTTAGTTTTTCGAAATTTCAATATCCCGACTGGAATGCCCCATGTAGTGTGCAGGCCTCATATGGCATGCCGATATAGGGATTTCCCTTGTTTGCCCTAGGGGGCAACCTCATGAGGCCCACATCTGAGCTACCTACTTAGGGACCCTATTTGCACCCCCTTAAAATTCTAATTGGGATCAAATTAGTTCAGTCGTTTCTAAAATTGTACCCTTGGAAGATACACCAACCGTGGAATCAATTTTCCCTTATTTTTCATTAACACCTTTTAGCCCAAGTGAGTGATAAGCTTTAAATAAGTTGAAACTTGCTGGATTGTAATAGTTTCCAGCTGATAAACTGAGTAACATGAAACCATGACACATGTATACTTTGTAAAGACAATCGGTATTAAAAAATTGTTAGCTATACGAGAATGTTGCATAATAGAAATACTTTAATGTGATATTATTAATAATATTATTGTCTTTTGCTGTAATACAGTACCATAGTAAAAAGCGTTATTACATGATCTACAATGGCACAAGGAGGGACAGACAACGTGGTTCTACTCTGGGCAATTATGGGGAGGTGTGTGTTGGGCTGGTAGTGGGTTACTTATTATTCTGATTTATTATTTTCCTTATAATTAGTTAACCTTTGTTCTGAACGAAAGTATCATTTATGGAACATCGAAGATATTTTTGAAATAGGTCAACTTGTTTCTGAGATTACCATCGACTGCAAACGACTCACGAACTTCTCATCTAAATAAAATATTGTGTACATAGGTTTATAACTTACCTGATCATCGAGTTGCAATTCCGTAAAAGCAGGTATATATTTAGCCCATTCTACCAAGATCAACAACTGCTGCTTCATGGAATCGCACACATCATTGATACTTGCTAATTGCTTATTGGATAAATCGTAATCGTTGACTGGCGATGATCCCATTTGCTGCTGATCAAAACGTCGGAATAAATTATTTATACTCGGTAAAGCGTGCTTTGATTGAAATGGCAATTAAATACATTAGCTCCCTACATGGTCCCTACCGTACTCTTCATTTGTGTTAGTTCGCGCGTATTTAAAATTCAAAACTCTTAAATGTGAGGAACCTCTAAAAACTGTTTTTAAGTACAAAAGAAGTTTTTTTTAAAGGTACCTATATTACATTTTAAATGTTTGTATCTTACTTTCGACATGCAAGATATTTTGGATATTAGTTAAAGTTTCTTTTAAAACTGTCTGATAGAAATTTCTTGGAGTCGCTGTTGATTTAAGTAACGTTTTATTAAAAAGTTGTCATGGAATTTTAATGTTTTCAGTAACTACCTGCAAAGTTTACATGAATACATAACTAGTAAACGACAATGCGTGAGCATCTAATTTTGTATGTTTTTATGTATTTAACGAATAGTTTGCCAGAACGTTCAAGGCAAAGGCTGAAGCAAACAAATCCATAAATTCAATATCTAGTTAAACCTACATAGATTATAGTAAGTAAATGTTACAGATGTTTTAGTAACAAATCGAATTTGTGCTATCGTTTATCCGTAAATTGATTTATTCATTTTTAGAAAGGACTCACAATACTGATTAGGATTTAAAAGTAGATATACCAGTGCTACCATCATGATAGATGGCCAATGGTACTGTTAAGTAAAATCAGTTTCAAAGTTGTTAGAAGTACTAGAAGCAGAAATTCTTTTTCGCGAAACCATCGGAAGCAAACCCATGAAAAAAAGCAGTTTCTTAAGATTTTATCAAGAAAAATTACTTCTTAACTTTCTGTTAAGTGTTTTAAATGGTATCTCATTTTAGTTACATATTTATTTCTATATGTATTGTTAGCAAGTGTGTAATAAGAATGTCATAACAGGATAATCGGAAATTGGTTTCTACAATTGTTCTTATTACCATACCTATGATTGAACACCTGTATTAATTGTTTTTTAGTATTAAAAGAATTTACNTTTCGTTTTCGATATCTCAAGAACGGATTGAGATATCGCCCTCAACCAAAATTTTTTCGAAAGATATTATCATAATGAAGATCTGAAAGAAATTTGAACGAAATCGGTCAAGCCGTTTTTTTTTTATAAAAAAAAAAACGAATTAATTACAAACAATTTAATTAAAATACGTTCTAATCTAATCACAACAATGAAGTTACGGAATCAATAATAACGAAATATCATTATTCAAGACAGGGAATAACATATTATAATAACATATTATAATAAAAATTTGTTTATAACAAAATGAATTGTTATAAACAATCGATAAACAATAAAAAATAGTATTTACCAATTGACTGATGCAAGTACTCTATCAATTCGGTTTTCTCAGACGAAATACTGTTTCTTATGGGTTTATAAAATGACGAACTCTCAAACATTGTTTGTTATTTATTATTGTGCCGCGTTTTTTTCAAACTTTAGAAACGAATGTACTTTACAATAACTGTATTATCTAATGGGAAGTTAGTCGTATTAGCACCGACCAAAATGTGCTCAGACCAATTTTTTCGGTTGGAGTTATTAAAGGAAGTCAAGAAAATTTAAATGTGTATCAAAAATAAGGAGGCAATAAAAATTAGATTTTAAGTAATTAATTTTTAAAGCTGTTTTTTTATGTTGGCTTGATTGTTTGTTAAAATTTTAATGTTGAGAATGCGAGAGGTTAAAAGATACATACAATTAGGAGTATCAAAATTAAGTATAGGCAATAAAGAATATAATCAAAAACAAGACAGTCATAAATAAGCGAATTATTTCCTGGTTCATAAAAAGATTCAACATGTAATAGCCAAAAGATTGTATAATTATAATTTTTGATTACAATTAAAACTTACTAACCCCAAATCGAATCTGATGGAAGAGAAAGCTGAACTATATCTAACAGAAACATTTTTCGTGTAACTACTATTGAATTTATCATTAAAGACATGTTTACAATCTCTTCACCCCTACCTACCGAAATAATTTATGGCCAGAATTCCAAAAGTGCTTATTTAATATACTGAACAACCCCAAATGGTTTTAATATATTTTTTTGCAATTTGGTGGAATAAACAGTAAAATATGCGATTATTAAATTTCTGATTGTACACTTCAGTTTTGTTTTTTCGTTTTCTACAAATAATTAAAAATGTATATTCGCAAAGAAGTAATTTTAATATTTTTAATTTTAATAATTCTTTTTCACTTTCGTTTTTTTTCATTTAATTTTATTATTGTAGTAAACGTTTTGTATAGTTGACATTGAAAAAACTAGTTTTAGTGTTTCAAAAGCTATAAAATAGGTAAAAACAATTTTTTACTACTTTAATTTTGTAGTATCTGCGCCTTCCAAGAAAACAATCATTTAAGAGTTAGAAATTACAAAGATAGTCCGTGTATTGAAATTGTTTAATTTTTGTGTTGTGTATAATCGATTCGTGTTTTGTATAATCAATTTTACAATTGGTAACTTTAAAACAATAGAAACTGCTCGTAAGTTTTTTGATTTCGGTTTACGAATATTGTTAAGTTTTTGTTCGAACCTTAGTGTTAAATTAAATAAGACAAAAAATGTTTTGTTTCTCTGTTTAAGTTTTATTTTTATCAGTCATGTCCTTCGCTTATTTACTTTTGCAAGGAAATTTAAATGTTTGCACGAAGTCTGTAGCAGAAAATTTTAAATAAATAAAAACATAGACTGGAATATACTTCTAAAACTGTGGAATTACAGAAAAGATAGCTGCAAATTTGTTATATACTAGATACATAACCAGGTAATGTTAATTTATTAAAGAATGTAATTATTGCAGCTAAGGACATATTTAAGGACACTGTAAGTGCAGGGCACCTATTATTAACTAATGGTTACCTTTGCGGTTTTTCCGGTACTATATTATCCCTTTTAACTCGAGAGCTAGGAACTTTATGAATAATTGATGAAAATACGTCATTTGTAGAGTTTAGCTATTTTTTGAATAACACCACACTTGATTGAGTATATTTAAAACTTTTTTTTTTTCAACCTTGCTTAGAATACGATTCTCACTAAGTTTGTTCGCCCCACGCAATAGTCGAAATATGTTGTCAAAACTTCATTAAAATCGATCTATGCATTGATTATTAGTCAGGACAAGGTCCTTTATACATAGATTTCTTCATCCTCTCCTTTTAAAATCACGAAAATCCGTTTTAGTTTATAACGCGATTGCATCTTTTAATTGTACTCATTTATGACAATAAAACAAATAAACCATGCAAAAAATATAAATTATTCAGAGGCGCACCAAGCTTTATAAGTTTGAGGAAGAAAGGGGGGGGGCGTGTTTTATTACAAATGTCGTCTACATCTGAAATTTTTTTACCGACTGCAAGATTGAATGCATTTTTAATGGTAAAAAAACCTTTTTATGGTAATTAGTTCAGAATAAAAATTGGCTCGGATACAAGTCCAATTCCCTGAATGAAAATTCAAACTCTGACACTTGGTAATAAACCTTGGGAGGGGGTGTGTGTCACACCTTCACAAATCTGACTCGGTACGCCCCTGTGTTTATTCTGGGTTGTTTAAATTTCCACAATTAAAAATTGAAATAGTGAATATTTTTACCTCTAGTGCTGCCCCCACTTGTCTGGAAAGCATTTCGGCGTTAAGTAAGGAACTGACAGAAAGACCGTTGCCTTGAGTGTTATCCTCGTAACTTGGTCGGCGACAGCTTATCCTGTCTCTTTCATTTTGCACAGCTGAAAAGAATAAGCAATATTAGCAAAAAAAAAACGAATTTTATTAAACTTTAATTCGTCTATTACCTTCTTTTTTCATACCCGCCTTGAAGCATTTCCTTAGTCGACAGTATCGGCATTGATTTCTCTTATCTTTGTCGACGACACAATTTCTACTGAACCTGTAACAAAATAATTCTAAATAAAAACTCTTATTTTTGTTTTAAAACTAAATACAGTCAAATTTCACAACCCGGACCTCCTAAATGCCACTGTAGTACAACCTCGATAATTCGAACAACGAACAATTGAAGTCATAATCCGAAAAACCTTGATAGTCCGAACAAGTTCGAACAGCGCAAGCGTGGCAACGTCACATCGCTAGAGAAGCGGCTGCGGGAGACATACAAAATCATACATTTCGTCCATCTTACGAAACGATTGCGTTTACAGCTACGAAATGGCGCCAAAATGTAAAGATATTCCAATATCAATATAGGAAAAAGTTTACAGTACGGAGCTATGGTTACATCCTACCACTTATTTACGTTTCAGATTTGTTATAAACTTTGTATATAAATTTCTGTGTCTAATATAGCAGACAACTGCTCTTTGCAATATTTAGTTTGTATTATGGAGGTTGTATTGTAATTATTTTCTAATTAGAAAAAATTCGGAAAGGAAGGAAAATACGTGCTCTATCGTTACCCTTTTTAATATTTGTTTCGAAGACATTGCTTCTACGTATATTATCTTTATATCAGTGGCTAGATATACAAAAAATACAATTTTCTACAAAAGCACAATATTCTGTTGAAAGAAAACACTTTTTACCTGCATGTGTAAAGATGGTTTTTCCGTACGGAGCGCCTGAAAAACCCTTTACAACCATCGCAAGAGGCTGCCCCGTAATGTTTTCCCGTCGCCCGATCACCACAGATGGCGCAGTGTTGGCTTAGCACGCCGGCACCGGTATTCCCCGAATTTGTTGAGTTGCCCAGTGACGCCGCCATTGAGCTATTGCTCGCGGCCATGTTCATTTCCGAATCTGAAAAGAAAACAGAACATTAAGGAATTACAGTTATTTGAAATCGTTAGCAATTTATTTTATAAATAAACACTTGATACTCATTAATAATTAGAAAATGTGACGACAACACAATGTGTTGCTTTTGAATTAATTCACAATGTGCCCATTGCCAAAATGCAATGTGATTCAACATCAGTGGACAGTTAAGTCATTTTTGAGGCTTATGATCTCCTTAGGAGAAATAATAAATAAGTTAACAGTTTATTACCGTTATAGAATATACTGGGACACATAGTAACAATTTTTTTCAAAAACCTTTTTCACTAAACTGACACTTTTACTTGTATTTAATAAAATTGCAAAATTGTCGTACATACACCTTGCTTGCAAGCTTCACCTGTAATAACTTTATCAACTGCAAGTGATACGTTATTAAAATACTGAAATCATGCTAGATATATGTGTAATCCACTTAAAGCTTTATCATATCAGTTTACAAAAAATGTGTTATTTATAATACTTATTGATTAATGGCGTTAAGTTGTTTGTTTTATGAAAAAATACACGGCGTTTTTGCACAAAAGTACACTGTTTAAGTATCGCTCTTCAGTTGAAGAGTATTGTTTTAATTTCTATTGAAACTTTTTTATCAATACCACCCACATTGTGTAATAATTTCCCAAAGTTCGTATGGTAAATTCGTAAATCACTCAAGAAAAATCTGAACACAACTCATGAGTTGTTCTAATTTTTATTTATCTTATCTCATTTTCAGTAAAAAAGACTGAAGAACGTCAAGCTGACTTTTTTCTAACATTTTTTTTCTAATCATTGGTGACACAACTTTTATGTTGTAACTTACTCTGTTTACTATCCCTTATTTACGCCATTTTCTTTCTGAGTAACGAAGTTTTATTAGTTGACATTTAATTTATCTCAAAAAGTGCAATATCAACATCGGTCAGTCGACTGTCTCCATTTAACTCACATTTAATTAGTTTCTAAAAATATTTAAAAGAATAAATAATCTATTTCCTCTTCATACAGATATACGTATGGCATATTATTATTACACAACTATTTTCCTTCTTTTTATACAGAGTTTATACGTATAAAGTGGCACCAAAATTTATACGTATAAAGACAACTAAGGTGCACCAAAATTTTTCGGCTATGAAAACTACAAAGAAATTATTAAAAACTAACCTGGTACATCAAACATTTCATACGCTTCTCTTACACTCAATAAATAATCTTCATCCATATCGAAAGGGGTGGAAAAGCCGAGAGGCACGGACAGTTTTTTACAAGCGCATAAAAAGTCACATTGGCTAGGTCAGGTTCGAAGACAAATACATAATACAGTAAATTACATAAATATTAGTATGTAGCTGCAAACAACTCAGCCAAATTCTGCATGTGAACTGGCTATTTTAAAAAAAAATTTCCACTGAAACGTGACGACTTTTGTGAAAATAGTTTATCTTCACTTGGATCGTCTATTTTCTGGTGGGCGTGCATTTTATTCAATTTATGTATGCTTTACTTTTACATTTACCTACTTATGATATTGGCAAACAATTTACTTTAAATGTTTTTTAGAAAACAAAAAGGGAAAGTTTGGTGCAACTTCAACCTTTTACCATCAAGTGACATCGTAAAAAAGGTACAAAGAAAATAGTGTATTGGTAGAACCAAATCCTGAGACAAATAATGATGGATAGATAGACAGACAAGTTTAAAACTCGCGATTTTCAAGTTTTTTTAATTTTCCTCCATGATATTCCCTCAGTCCTAGAGTCTTAGTTCATCTAGAAGTACCCTACAGGATTTGATGATCACTGATACTTTAATGGGCAGATAGACAGTCAAATTTGAAACTGGAGATTTTCAGATTTTTCGCAATTTTCCACCATATTAGATCTTCCTCAGCTCAAAAGTGAAGGTTCGAGCATCCTAGTTCAACTAGAAATACCCTACAGGATCTGATGATCACTGATACTTTATGGGCAGATAGACAGTCAAATTTGAAACTGGAGATTTTCAGATTTTTCGCAATTTTCTACATTATTAGATCTTCCCTCAGCTCAAAAGTGAAGGTCCTAGCATCCTAGTTCAACTAGAAATACCCTACAGGATTTGATGATCAGTGACATTTTAATGGGCAGATAGATAGTCAAATTTGAAATTCNGTTTGTATCTTACTTTCGACATGCAAGATATTTTGGATATTAGTTAAAGTTTCTTTTAAAACTGTCTGATAGAAATTTCTTGGAGTCGCTGTTGATTGCTTGTAAATGCTTCGTCATTCAAATTAATAACAGACAATTATATCTTTCCTTGAAGAACGTACACCAAGTGTATTGCAAACTCACTTGATGACAATTTTTCTACGTATAGAATTTAAAACCAAAACGAAATGTTACAAAGCGTATTTTACGGATTCAATATAAGATTTATTGAGAAAAAAAATGTTTAAAAATACCTCCAACAGTAATAAACTAATAGAAACTGACCGAGCGATGTAATTGTTTATTGTTGAATAATACTAGTTTACAATTATATTTTATGCAACTGTTATCACCTTCTCAAAGGTAATTGTGATATTTTATTAAAAAAAAAACATTATAATTACGATTATGATTGCATCAGAAATTATTGTACTTATACGATCTTGCAAATAAGAAATCATTTTTTTTACGTTAATGACACGTCCACGTAGGTAAATACGACACCTGTACCATTAGATGGTACTGTAAGCAATAAATTAATAATATACCCATTGTATTGTTATAATATGTAAATATAAGTTAAACAAGAAGCAGCATTAGTATCTATAAAATAAAAAAAGTAGAAAAAANTTTCCACTGAAACGTGACGACTTTTGTGAAAATAGTTTATCTTCACTTGGATCGTCTATTTTCTGGTGGGCGTGCATTTTATTCAATTTATGTATGCTTTACTTTTACATTTACCTACTTATGATATTGGCAAACAATTTACTTTAAATGTTTTTTAGAAAACAAAAAGGGAAAGTTTGGTGCAACTTCAACCTTTTACCATCAAGTGACATCGTAAAAAAGGTACAAAGAAAATAGTGTATTGGTAGAACCAAATCCTGAGACAAATAATGATGGATAGATAGACAGACAAGTTTAAAACTCGCGATTTTCAAGTTTTTTTAATTTTCCTCCATGATATTCCCTCAGTCCTAGAGTCTTAGTTCATCTAGAAGTACCCTACAGGATTTGATGATCACTGATACTTTAATGGGCAGATAGACAGTCAAATTTGAAACTGGAGATTTTCAGATTTTTCGCAATTTTCCACCATATTAGATCTTCCTCAGCTCAAAAGTGAAGGTTCGAGCATCCTAGTTCAACTAGAAATACCCTACAGGATCTGATGATCACTGATACTTTATGGGCAGATAGACAGTCAAATTTGAAACTGGAGATTTTCAGATTTTTCGCAATTTTCTACATTATTAGATCTTCCCTCAGCTCAAAAGTGAAGGTCCTAGCATCCTAGTTCAACTAGAAATACCCTACAGGATTTGATGATCAGTGACATTTTAATGGGCAGATAGATAGTCAAATTTGAAATTCACGATTGTTAGATTTTTCGGAACTTTCGCTAAAATTTGAAGGTCCTAGCATCCTAGTTCAACTAGAAATACCTTACAGTATCTTATGATCTGTGATACGTTCGATGGACCGATAGATAGACAAACTTGAAACTCGCGATTTTTAGATTTTTCGCAATTTCCCACCACATAAGCTCATCCCACAGTTCAAATTTGAAGGTCTAAGCTCTACCAGAAGTATCCTATATGGTTTGATGATCGCTGATATTGACAAACAGACCAACTAAAATGAAGTGATATGAAACCCTAAACACTGAATGGCTGTTCAGGATCGTATGGACCATGCATAATGTAGGATTTCGTAATTATTTTTACGTAATACCTAGTCATTTAGAACTGAGTCTAAATCAAAAGTTGATAGCGAGAACACTTGCGGTCAATACCCATGGTATAGAAGTTCCAAAACAAAAAAAGATAGTTTAAAGACATAACAACAATAAATCCTGAAGTTTAATTAATTTTTCTTGGAAACGTTGTAAATTGCTTTCGAAAAAATCCCGAAATGAAAAGAGAGGTTTATCTCTTATCTTAATAAATAGAAGCTTTATTATTTTGGAATTTTATAGGTTTGTTATTTTTCAACCGATAATCTTTGTACATTCCGAACCGGAAAAAATACTTGCTTTATAAACTTGAGTAGATTTACAAAAACAATTTCGTCGAATTAAAAGTAGGTAATGCAGCTGTGTGCATTTTATCATTAATGCATTTATTTTATTCACTGCTGCTGTTGTCAAGTGAACACAAAAATATATTTTAAATCATTATCACCTGTGTAGGTATTAGATGGCTTCAGATATTTGTTGGTTCAAAATGTGACAATTTTCGAAATAGCATCTTTCTTGTAGTCAAACATCATAGAACGTCCTCAATAATTCGTTTGGCACTTTGCAACAAATCTAATAATATCTGCCAAAGCCAAATTTCCTAATACTTCTGTTTGTCAAAAATATTAAAGTAAACAAAATTCTTCAGCCGTTGGAATTATACCAATGCTCTATCTTTTTAATAAATGTATTCGTACATTGTATACTATGCAACAATTTCAGATGTGATGTTTATCGTCAAATTATATTTAAATAATTACCATACTAAATGAGACATGCAAGATATTTTGGATATTAGTTAAAGTTTCTTTTAAAACTGTCTGATAGAAATTTCTTGGAGTCGCTGTTGATTTAAGTAACGTTTTATTAAAAAGTTGTCATGGAATTTTAATGTTTTCAGTAACTACCTGCAAAGTTTACATGAATACATAACTAGTAAACGACAATGCGTGAGCATCTAATTTTGTATGTTTTTATGTATTTAACGAATAGTTTGCCAGAACGTTCAAGGCAAAGGCTGAAGCAAACAAATCCATAAATTCAAT